GTCTGGGAGCTGCAGATCGACAGCTCAAACTCTTCGCGCTCTGCGGCATATTAAAAGCAAAGATGATGCTCGCAAGGCGAGACAGGACACTGAGCTTCTCAGGCGGCGTTTCACAGAGCGTGGTGTATCCTTGTGGGGTTTTCAAAACCACAACACACCTGTGGAAACTGGCCAAGCTGGACCGACCCTCAGAGAAGGGCAGCTTCTGGGGCAGATCAGCGCCTCCTCTGCTCCTGGCCCAGACTTCCAGCGCGCCCACCCCGCCAGGTGTAAAACCTGGCACAGCGCATAAGGCAAGCAAGGAACTGCACCTGGAAGGATTGAGAATGGTCTGGTTTCATGTTCTCCAGGGAAATTCTCAGGACTGCTGTGGGAAGCTGCACACAGATTGTAACAGGACCTGCTGTTGCCTGTTAACTATTGCTCGATTCTGTCTGGTCCCTGGAGGGCCTTCAAACACTGCCACGCTCACCCCAGCGCCGGCGTGGGCAGGGGTCCAGTGCCTGGGTCGCACGGAGAGACAGAAATAAACACAAAGAGCCACAGCCTCCTGAACCGTCTTGGCTCCGCGTGCTCTTGCCTGTTTGCGTTACGTGCGATGTTCTTTTAATCACCGCCTAAAACAACAACGCGGAGAAAACACAGCACTCTGAAGCTGCCCATGATTTTCATTCATAACATCAACAAAGAGGTAGAGAGGGAGAGAGAGAGAGCTATTCCTGTCGGAAGCCATTAATAAAAGATAGCCGAGTCTGTCTGCTGGGTTTTGTGAATGGGGTCAGCGCTGCCACGCGCTCGCGCTGCCAGGAGTGCGGAAGGGAGGCCGGGAGCGCGCGGCTCGCACCTGCGGAGACGCGCATCCGCCTGGGAAAGGCGGCGTGTCCGTGACAGACAAGCATGACCATGACCTGGGCTCCGCTCTCCATGGGGTTAGCACTATGGTATTGCATAAAATTTATCCCCCCCCCCCCCCCCCAGGGATTTGTAAAAGTAATGCTATTTTCCCTCTGCGTTTTCTTGTTTCTGCTTTTACTTTAGCTTGAGCTATTAATGGAACCAGTGTTAATTTGAAGACCGATAGTAGAGGGGAAAACAAATGAACCAAGGCAGAAATAAATGCATTTGCAGTCACCCCTCTCCAGGCCCTGTCGATCTGCCCCGGAGTGCGGAGTTTCAGGTACCGATTGCTGGCCTGGACCAGCCCGGGCCGCTCCGCCCCCCGAGCGCCCTGGGACTGGAACAATCGATGAGCCACAGCGCCGATTTCGGAGTGAAATGAGCGGCCGCCCAGTGGGCTCAATCCACCGCCTGGCGCTTTCCACATCAAACGGCAAAGCACCAAGAGCACGACTGTGCAGGTGGGGGTCTCCTGTCGAATCCACCAGCCGGCGTTTTATAGCAAAATCACTTAAATGTGCTTACAGGGAATGCCGTGATAAACTGTTGATATACCACGGCATTGTACGTTCTGATACAAGCTGCTTAAAATCTCATGTCAATACAAATGCAACAGATTCATGCCCTTCCGAAGTCAGCTGTTCTACTTATGACAAATATTCTGACCGCTGGGAGAGAGTGCGCGCATTTAGAAAGTGCTCAGAAGTGAGCTCCAGGTCATGAAACAGTGCACAGCAGCCACACACGACAGCACATGGGCGTTAAAGCTCTTCAAAGCTTTAGCTGAGGGCGTTAACGTTCACAATGTTATGGGCTCTGTTAATGTCGGGGGTTGAAGTATGGCACTCCACAGTATTGTTTCGACACCGACACCGTGACAGTACAGTCGGGAAGAAAAACGAGGTTTCGGCCGCGGAGCCCCTTTAAAAAAAAAAACGTGGCGGTACTAGAACATTTCAGGTTTCCCCGGTGGAATTACCCTCCGCTTGTCCCCATGCGGTTGGCATTCCGAGCTGGCTGCTCCCTCGGTTGGGGTGGTTTTCAGTGTTAACACGTTAACACGCAGCGGCCCGGGTCCGAGTCCGGGAATCGACGAGCGCCGCCGGCGGCCGGGGCGACGGGCTCTGCCGCTCTCTCCCCGCGCAGGGAGGAAACATCGATGAGGGCCCCCCGGAATTATTGGGCCGCTAATGGCGTTACGTAAGCCACCTGCCAGCACTGCCAGCCCTCACTCACCCACTGGAGCAGAAAGGAGCAGTGAGGTCGCTGACGGAATGTAACACACTGAAGTAACACCGGTTCAGGGAAAACAAGGCACCACAGCCCAGTGCAAGAACGCACTTGAATGGAATGGAGCCCGTAGCATGGCCTCTGTGCCAGGGAAAACGATGCTTGAAAACGAGGTTTGAATACGCTGATACAAGCACGCAACACCTGACGATGGCACGGGCCACTGTTCTTCCTCCGCACTGGGAAACTGCCCGTCTGCCCCACACGGAGGTCACGAACGACTTGCTCATCAGGGGAGAGACGGCACTGAGGAGTCCGAGCACTGCGCCAACATGTGCTCTCAGAACCTCACATGTCCGATGGCTGGAACCTTCACACGTACATCTCACAGTGTCTACAATTCGCGTCCTCTAGACCTCCCCTCTCGGCTCTTGTTGGCCCGCGTCCTGCAGTACAACGTCGCAACAGCGCGCCCCTGAGCCCCTGAGATGATTCTGAACGCTTTTCTTTTGTCTTAAGCTCCCGTCTGCGTCTCGTACAGAAACGGTATCTGCCAGGGGTTGGCCGAGTCCTGAAATCTGCTGTAAATCTTTTCGAATCTCCTCTGCTGCTTCTGCAGTGTTCGCTAATCCTCCTAGTATGGTGCCATCTGCAAACTTGTCCTCTTGCCACCTGTACCGGAATCTAGACCGTCAGTACAAACCCTGAAGAGCTGTGCTTCTCTATCCACAGCTGTTCTGTGCCAACAGGCCCTTTACATGGGAGTTGAGGCAGAGGTGAGAAACTTGCTTCACTGCTTTAATCCAGCTCTCAGTGCAAAGACACGCCGACCGCTGTCAGGAGACTTTATTCAAAGGCTTCTGACAATACACCTTATGTGCTGTTTGCATCCATTCCCGAAGTTGCTTGCTGAAAGAACTCTAGCAAGCTAGACAGATCATTTTTACTCCTACTGTATACTACTTTAGAACTTCCCCAGGTCTGTTATTACCTTCCTCATGTCCTTGAGTACCATGTGTGGAATACCATCGAGTGCTGGATATTTACCTCAAGGGCTTCTTGTATTTGTCACATTTCTGTCTCTCCCACCCTGATATTACTTAATACAGAACTTTTTCTCAAACTGAGATGTTTTCTTAATTTGTAACCACCTGCTCTTCTAATGGTTTACCCATACCCCTGAGACCCTTTCGTCTTTAACTGTTCTTTGGCTTTTGTTTGAACACTTGCATTTTACCTTCAGCTGTGAAATGGCATACAGTCTCCCAGCCTTTATGAGACAGAAATCTTTTCTTTCCTTGTGATTTCTTGCTTTTCTTCCAATTTTATGTTTCTCCTTAGATTTGTCTTAATCGAAGAATCCATTAGGACCACTGTTTTCTAGAATGTGATTTGCTTTTAGAATGAATCTGTTCCTCGCTTCTAGCAGAATCTTTTCAAACTGTTCCATTCATTCTCTCCTAACTGTAAGTCTACCCCACCCTGCCTTCCACTTTTGAATTCCTGAAATTTTAAATGTCTGCTTTGGACTTCAAAGCCACAGCATATTCTGATCATAATTGCCTAAAGGATCTCTCAGCTCTGATTGCCTCTATCTTGCATGGATAGATCCAGGCTAGAATTATGCAGGCATTGCCTCCACAGGGTATTCTGACAGACTGACTAAGGGAACAGTTTTTAGCCTGTTTCAACTTCTTTGTGTCCGAGGGTTTTTCCCAATCTAAGTGCAGAAAAGCGAAGTCTCTCACGATAACAACTTCTTCTTGTCTGCATGCATTTGTGACTTCGTGTAATACTATGCATTATGATTGATATTAGAATTTTGTGGTTTTTAGCATACCCATCTCACCATGCAACATGAGTGTTGCTGCTCAGTCAGATCCATATATTGATAGGATTTCTCTTTTTGATCTATTGTGCTACAACTTCTACCATCCTGGCTCTGAAATGCCTTGTATCCATTAAGACTGAAATCCTCATCATTACTCTCTGCGAGCCTGCTTCTCTGGTTCCATCATAGAGCAGATGAATCACTGAGCCTTTCCCTTATAGCGCGTCAGCAGACTGGAGCAGGAAGAGGTAGGACAGCACACTCACAGGGGTTTATTGCCCCGCACAATTAACAGGTGCATGTCGGTCACAGAGAGGGGGTAGAAGGAAAGCAGGAGAGCGTCCAGTTCCAAAGATGTCCCACCCCCCTCTTTATACGGTGGCCAAAACGATGCTACAGCAGTCACGTGCTACTGCATTTCCTTCTTAAAACTCCTGGCATTTCTGGATAACCACTTGATTCCCTGGTTGACCCAAAGGTGTGAGAATGACAAAACAAGAGCATCAAAGAGTGCTCAGCATGACCGTAAGGCATATTCCCACTGTAATGCGCACACAGTCTACAGGGAAACCAATGCCAAAAGACAGTATAGCGTTGCACCCGAGTGATAGACTGCCAGGACTGTTCTTCGATCTCTCCCCCCTTTCTTTCCCCCAAGCTCCCTGTCCAACTGGGGGTGGGAAATCATCTCTCGACCTCATGAGCTGCTAGCAGATGCTGTAAGACACACTTTGTTGGCCCCATGGGGAAATGTTTAGGGTCACACATTGCTTATGCACATCTACATACATCACAAAAGCATTACACATCACATCTATTCTACATGCACAACTCATTACACTGGTGTGCACTGCCACATTTTTAAACTCCAGTTCGATGGGCTCATTGGCATGGTCAATGAATTATAGTGTTGCCAAAGCAGGTGATCAGCAGAACAACGACAGTAAGAAACATACTGGGGACTTAGGAACATGAGTGTTAGCTTTATTTGAGATGCTGACTCTCTGTTCCTCAGGCTGTGACAGGAGATCACATACTGGGCTGCAGCTCTATTGAATTTCCTCCCTCAGTGCCTTTGTACCTGTTAATTATTAAGGGCAATAAACCCCTGGAGCCTGCAGGTCTGACACATCTTAAGGGAACAGGGCTGACCGCTGCAATATACAGTAAATTCTCTATATTAATGGATGCTTATTCTGTGAATTTAAGCATGAAAAATTAATAACTTTAATAATTGTATAACTCCTAAATCCTCTACACTCTTTCAACAATTCTGCTCCTAACAAACTCTAAAACTAATGATATCCATTAACGTAACAACAGTTCTGTACCTCTTTTCAACCACTGTCAATCTTGTGTTTAATGTCTTGGGAAAGTCCCAGTCCTTGATGATCTGATTAATCTGTATCAGGGAGGTATTCACAGCAAGAGTCCAGACCAAACTGGAACCTGACCTGAAACATTCACAACTGCTTTAGATAGTCATCTGTGAGAGGAAGTTCCCAGCCATTTTCCCCCAGTGCAACAGGAAGAAGGCTGGATGAACTCTTCAAGCATGTGCCAGAGGAGGTCTCCAAGCCCACAGTCTGCCCTGCTCCAGCAGTGACACCTGAAGACATATCAGAATTACCTTTATTAAACCCGGCTCACACTTTCCCCCAGCTCTCAGTGCTCGATTAATGTCTTCCTTCCTCCTACCAGAGCAAAATCCATCACTTCTGTCTCTCGTTCACCTGCCCCCACCCATTCACATTCTCCTAACCCAGGGGACTCCAGTCCTAGTTCTGGGGATCCCCACACTTCCTGGCTTGTGTCCTAACCCAGTTCTCACTTACAGTACACAGCTGAACCCTCTCCACTGACTTAAGAGATGAGATGACTTTATTAGCCCTATACAATTTCTTGTATTAGGAATTTGTCTTTTCGCATACCCCAGCTTGCTCTCCATGAGACATAGACACACAGACAGGGAGAGAAGCTGGGGGTCAGAGTGAAGGATCAGCCATTTATACGGCGCCACTGGAGCAGTTAGGGTTAAGGGCCTTGCTCAGGGGCTCAATGGAGTAGGATTTCTCTGCTGGCCGCGAGATACGAACCGGCAAACTTCCAGCGACAAGTGCAGATCCTTATCCACAGAGCCACCACACCGCCCCTTAATATTAAACTGTGTGACTGCTTTTAGCTCTTAGCTTGAATGTAAGCCATAAACCAGGCTTCTATTTCCAGAGATATTACAACATGTTTGAGGGGACATCATTCCAGGCGGAAATCGACTCTTTTTTTAACTACTGGTCTCTGTGTTTCAGAAGGAACAGAAAAACCCCAGACTTCTGCAAACGTCTGAGTAGAAAAAGATTGCAAATATTCCACTTGAGGGCGATAACGGGGGGTTGGGTTTAAGGAACGCGCAGGAATGTGGGCCTCTGGGATCAGGATTGTGCACCCCTGTTACTCTTCACAAAGCTGAGGAGGCGCCTGACTTGTTTTTTTTTTTCCTTTGCACCTTTCAGCACGGAATTAAACTCCATTTGCTCCTTCACAACTCGTCCGCTGACGAGACTCCCTGCTCTGAACCCATCTTTATCCAGGCAGACGTTTCCAAAAATAAAATATGGCTTCAGACCCTTTTCCTTGCCGAGCCCCTTCGATACCCGGTTTCCGAGTAATTTCAGGGCTGTTGCGTCAGTCTGTTCCCTCCGGACCGCGGGAGAGCGGCGCCGGAGTCCAGGCGGAGTGCTGGCTCCCTCTGCTGGCGACGTCTTATTTCTGACTTCGGCCTTGTGCGCCATAGACCGAAACTGATGCAAGGATGGTGCAGATCTTCCACGGATTTCTGTGCGCCGCTTGCTTATTCATTCTTGTAACACGTCTTCTTTATTACGTTCTAAAATAATGCGTGTGGATCGCACAGCAAGTCAATACCAACAGATGAGTAATGTACATCACATCTTAATCAATGCTTTATAAACACAGGGCAGAGATAGCACATATTGTATGTTTAAACACCTAAGGAAAAAAACAAACTACAGCAACAGTTTAAAAAGAAAACGCAGTACCACTACAGGAAATGCAACAGGTGTTTTGTCAAGCACACCTGTGGTGCCCTTTGCTCTAGAGGGGTTGATACTGTACATCTGCTGGTTCCGAAGCTCCGCCAAGTCTGAGAAAGTTCAAGCTGTCGTGGTTGCCATCACGACGAGATACCTGCCTGTTTGTTTGTTTTTAAGATTCCACGTGTAATGAGGCGCAGCGGCACCGAGGCGCGTACATCAGCGACGTCACCAGCCCTGCGACCGGCCCTCGGTGTGTCGGCTGCGCGGACTGAGCCCGCCAGCGACCGAGAGCTCGGGCAAGCAGGTCTACCGTTTTTGCAAGCCGGTTCGCGTTCCGGAGCACGGTTTTTAAAGGAGTTTGTAAAAGCACGCACGCAGCGTTTTGACCGACGGCCCTCTCCAACAGGGCCGGTGAATTGTTCTCTGAACCACCCATCCGTACGGCCTCTTTCTCCCCGATTTATCCAATACAGGCTCGCAGGGGAGCCGGAACAGATCTCGGCACGGAAAGGGCACAAGGCAGGGTAAACCCTGGACGGGACGGGACGGGACGGGACGGGACGCCAGTCCACCGCAGCTCAACACACACACCCACACCAGGGCCAGTTTCCTCAGAAGCCATTTTACCTACCGGTATGTTTGTAGGAAGAAACCCACGTGAACATAGAGGGAACATGCAAACTCCATGTAGACTGCACCCCAGGTCTGGAGTTGAACCCAGGACCCCGACACTGCAAGAACACACCCCTGATCTTGAGCCTGACTGGAGTCTGAGGTGAATACAACAACGGACTGCTGTTTTGTATATTGTAACTACAATATATATTGTAACACATATGGCCGACAGGTATTGTGTAAGAGCCGGCTTACCAGAGCTCTCTTTAGCTCACCGGGCTGGGTCCCTGTTGAGTGACGCGGGAGTCCCGGGTTCGAGCCCCCGACGGTGTGGGGCCGACCTACTGCGGCAAGGGCGCCCACCTGAACCCCGTTGCGTTACAATATAATTCAAAAGTGTTGTTCCAAAATTTTAAAAATAAACGCTACAAAAACAACAAAGGATATGAGATCACAGAAATCCAGGCTCGAAATAGCGACTGTAATGTGAAAGTATTAAACTGCAGAAGGACCCATCATCAGAAGTACTAATTGTGTTTCACCAGCAGATGGAGCTCTGTGCTTTGTAGACCACACGTGCGGCTTCACTGATGAAAAAGCACAGCGGCCATTGAGTCGGAGGGATCTGGCGAGCAGTACTTTCAGGGTCTGAGGGCTACAGATCTCCTGTCCTCCTTTCACATCTCTCTCAAACCTCCCGAGTCATGAACAGCAGATGGCGAGGGGACTTGGTGCAAATATTTTAAAGTCCTCAAAGCCGCACCTGAGGGCACGAGTGCCAGTGCCTTTAAGACCGAGAAGGGGGGGCACCTCTTTACGCAAAGGGGCGTGTGAGTGTGGAACCAGCTCATGCTTTTAATTAAAACTGCTGCTCTGGCTCCTTTCAAGAAACAGCCGAATGAGATCCGCAGACCAATTAGCTACTAACCACCAAGTAAACCTGATAGACTTAATGGCTTCCTCTCGTTTGTAAGCTTCTTATGTTCTTAAGCTCTGAATATCTTCATCCTCAGCGTGCCGCAAGCCCTAAAACCTGAGATAAAAAATGAACCTCCTTTCTATTCCTTTAGAGTTCCGATGGGAGGCAGTATCCCTTTGTACTGCATCCTTTACAAACCACGAACTTGAAGCAAGAGAGGTGCCAGGCGCTGGTGAAGGGTCTGTGTCTTCCCCATGGGTGCC